CCCCAAAACCCCAAAACCCCAAAACCCCGTGGCCTCTAAATACGAAATTCGCAAATATTATAACGATATTATTTGCAATAAATTCAATAATGGGAGTTTGCATTTCCTAACCTTCGAATTACGGCTAGGTAATGGATGGAGAAATCAATAAATCAATGTTTATCTTTAAAAACGTGATAGGTAAAGGAGCTTTTGGTTATGTATGGAGGGTAGAAAAGAAGCCGTCTAGATTCCCCTTTGCAGTTAAAGTAATGAGTAAAGCCAAAGTTTTTAACATGAGAAGTGTAGATACAGTGATAAATGAGATGAAGTTATTAAGTTAGCTGAAGCATCCATTTATTGTAAATATGAACTATGCCTTTTAAGAGAAGGAAAATCTGTATTTAGTTTCAGATTTCATGGTGGGAGGAGATTTAAGATATCATTTAACTCTTAGATAGCGAAGATTTTCCGAGAGACAAGCCCAATTCATAATTGCCTGCGTTATTCTCGGACTTGAATATCTCCATAACAATGGAATACTGCATCGTGATGTAAGGCCTGAGAATATATTGATAGATGGAAAAGGCTATTGTAAATTAGCTGATTTCGGATTAGCTAGAATATGGTAGCCTTTAAATTCCTCTGATACTTCTGGAGCTCCTGGCTATGCAGCACCTGAGGTATTGAACAGATAAAATCATGGAACTGAAGTTGATTATTTTGCTGTTGGAATAATTGCTCATGAGCTGATGCTTGGAAAGAGGCCATATCCTGGCAATGATAGATAGACTTATAAAGAAAATGTTATGAAGATATAAGCTGAATTGAAGAAAGCTGATACCCCAGAGTCTTGGAATCATGAAGCTTCTGACTTCATTAATAAATGTATTCTTAGAAAGCCAACATCAAGACTAGGTCTAAATGGACCCAATGAAGTTAAATCCCATGTTTGGTTTAAGGATTTCGATTGGCAAGCGCTTTTGGCAAGAAAACTAAATTCCCCATTCATCCCAAGCATTAAAAGAAAAAATTTTGATAGGAAAAATTTCATATTAAAACCAGAAGAATAGGAAAGCACATTGCAGATTAAAATGAATTAAGAATTGCTTATGTAACCAAGTATTTAAGCATTATTTGATGGTTATAAATATGACATTGATGAAGAGAAGCGTAAAGAACTTGAAAGAGAGGAAAATGAAAAGAAAAAGAGAAATAAGCTAAAATGAGA